GTACCTACAGCATAGGCCCAAGGATCTTAGATCCAACTAAGCCACACAGAGAGAGGGAGATGAGCCCTTTTTCAAAAGAACATCCAGTGATCTCAGAGTGAGACCCATGCCAAAGGCTATCATTTTAAATAGCTCTTTCCTCCAAAGTTTATTTGAAGGAGGCATTCTGAGGAAAAGCTCATTTCCTTAAAACATCAAAGAACTAAAAACCAAAAGATGATAGATTTTTCTGGAGACAGACTTCGAAGTGTATAAATAAAATTCTGCAAGTGTACAAATAAATACTACAAAGAGTTCATTTCTGCTACAGTTGTCCACCACTCTCAATATTACATTTAGCTAACTTAATTTTCCATGGATAAAATTTATTCAAAGTTAAATTTCACTTAATAGGTCATCTGAGTAAACAGTTTCAAGTGTTATTTGCCAAAAAACAATATGTTTCCAGGCTCTAAATGAAATCGGCAGTGTCAGGCTAAGAAAACAACCTTAAAAATTCACAGAGGACTGGAACAATTGCAGAAAAATTGGAGCCCAGAGCTTCGTCTTTTTCATGCAGTTCTGGAGGCACAAAAAATTACCAATTTCCACCAAAACCATGTCTTGGAGGGGCAAGGAAAAATGCCATTTTTAAAAAATCCAAAATACTAGAAAACAACATGTCTTTAAAGTGGCAGCTGCCATATGAAGAATGTGTCATATTTGTGTTACCACACCAACCAAAGACAACACTGACATTATATTAAGCACCCTGCATCCTGATCGTCTCCTGGGCGGGTACTCTGGGCACCTAGTTTTCAGAAGAAGGCAAAGAGGGAGATGGGGGATGGGGCAGGGGAGGGGTAGAGAAGAGGAAAGGGGAGAGAGGGTCCAAGGAGGGGGCAAGGTATGACATGGAATTTTGCAAATGCAAAGAAGTTATTCAGGAAAACGGAGCAGGGCAACTTAGGGTGGATGTCTTCATGAATCTCTCTTCTTGCAATGTTGTGGAACTACTGGATTTGTAAAGTGGAAGAAGTAGAAAGGATAAATTAGTTGCAAGCCTATTTCACAGATGAGGAAATTGACACCTGAAAAGCAAAGCAAGCCCCTATCCTGAACAGATAGTACACCCAGGATGGAGATCATTCCATCTCCAGGCTCTGAATATACTTACTCTAATGGCACCTAAAGCCACAGGTTCCTAGAACACAGTCTGAGAAGCCCAGTGACATGATGAGTAGCACTAGGTGTACCTTATGACAAGAACCAAATTAATTCTTGCCTACAACCCTGACACCATTACTCACATGTTCATGGGCCATGCTGGCATCCCAAATGCCCAGGTCCCCTAGTAATAATCACTACTCTGAGCACAGAGGGAAGCCTGATGCATCATCTTTGGAAGTACACTCTTGTTCTGCTGACATCATCACAAAGTGGAAGGGAGGCCAGTCCAGAAACCACAGGGCTTCCTTCCTAGCCTCTACACTGAAGACTTTTGAGAGCAGACACTACTGCATTCAACCAGTACAAGCAATATTTATTGCCTCCAGGGCCCTCTGACCTCTTAAGGAAACCTGGGCGACTAGGCCTTGGCTCAGTCCAGCTCAGTCCTGCCCTCCCACAATAAGTTAGAGGTAGAGAATATGAATACTACTGAATTTAAATTCCAAATCCGATGTTATGAGTGCTGTTGCTCTCAACACTTTTGCATAAAATATCTGTTCTATGAAAACTGAGAAGCAGACTTCCAACAGCATTCTGGAAAGAGCACCAAGTCTACTAGGGGTCACCTGTGTCTGTGTTCACATTTTGACCACGTTCTTGTAGAAAGAGAGCATTCCTCAGAGGTGATGTGCTTATTACCATAGCAAGATCTTTCAAGCTTTTATGTACTAGAAAATAGTGCTTGAACCTCTCAGCCCAGCTTCCTGATGGGTTAGACCTGGGCCACCTGAGGATGTGGCCTGTTGACAGAACAAGATGAACTGCATGTGCCCATTCCTATGAGGAGGGGTTGGAGAAGGTAGTTCCATGATCCACCTGTAATGGAGGGATGGCTGCCCCCAACAGCCAGCAATTCATGAGGGAGCTCCTACTACAGAACTTCCACACACAGGGCACTAAGCTGGTCATACTTCATGACTTCATTACCAATTCTCACAGCAGTCATGAAAAGTCAGAATGATTACCTCAATTTCTCACAGAAGGAGAGAGAGGCTCAGAAAGCCTATTTTGCCCAAAGCCCACAGCTTCTAAGCTGGGATTCAAATCCAGGGGAGGGTGATTCCAAAACCCAGGAAGAGACGGGGCTCTCAAATCTACATGTCTACTTTATATCGTTGAGGTGCTTGCAATTAAGCTGGAAAGATGGCAGATGGAAGCTCTAGACCTGCCCGTCCAATAGCACTTTGTGTGATGATAGAAATGGTCTACGATCTCCAATATGGTAGCCATGAGCCATACACAGCTATTAGGTGTTTGACATGTATCTAGTGCAGTTGAGAATCTGAATTTTTAATGTATTTAATTTGACTTAATTTGAATTTAAGTCACCACTGAGTGTCCATATTGGACAGCACAGTTAGAGACATTTTGTACCAAAAACATTTAGCAAAAAGAATGGTCACAGCAGCCTGGGATGGTCAAGGCAGGTCTGGTGAAGAACAGAGACTCCAGGCAGGCCCTTGCTGTGTCAGGACTTAAAAAAGACCCCTCCTGTTTCAGGCATGATCACCTTCCTTGTGGTCTTTGGCTCTGAGGTCCGGGCCCCAGAAATCAAGCCCAGTGCCCATAGCCCCCAAATGAAGACACTGAGAATGTTCCTTCTGAGTCTTTATTCTTTCTGGACTAGCTCTAAGCATTATGAGCTCTAGTTCTCCTCCTGCTACTCTCTAGAAGCCCTTCCTCCTCCCTCCCCCTGTGCCTTCCCTGTCAACACCAAAAACCTGGACATCTTTCTTTCTAGTAGGGGGCTGAGTCATTTCCTCTCTTAAAATGGTTTTAATGTGCTTTATTCTTCTACACCCATCACTCTGAAAAAGATGCTTCTTGATACAATGAGCAATGCCACTCACAGAGACAGCACCATCTCCCCCAACATACATCTCCCAACAGGGATCAGAAGCCCCTTCCATCACCATTGGCCCTGAGCGTGGTGGCTGACCTCAACCCGAAGCCAGTCACTATACTGCGAGTGACTCCATTCTTTCCCATACCAAAGGTATACCAAAGGTGCCAACTGGCCTCCTAGTCTAGTCTTTCTAGTATTTCTAGTTTTCTGTATTTCTAGTATTTCTAGTCTTCTGACATCTCGCTCACCACCTGCCTCTTAGTTACCGGAAGACACTGAAAAATATTTGGCTACATGACCAGATCAGCAACCAGAGTTCTTGCTGCATCTTTCTACAAAAGGCTCTGTTGGCTCAGTGTGCCACTCAAACCCATCACATCCATTTTTGCTTCTAGCTCACGGAGCAGCCATGAGCTTCACTAACCTTCAAAGGTATTCCTTCAGAGCATTTAGTAATAGCCACAGTAACCCCTGAATTCTCCAGCTTGAGGAATATAGATGATGTAGCATTGTGGGTTGTTGTGGGTTTGGGATGGGGGGACTGCTGGTAATTGATTTTTAATTCTTTCCAGTTCTGCCTAGGAATGGACTATTAAAACTCTCAGTATTGGGACGCCTGGGTGGCTCAGTTGGTTAAGCAGCTGCCTTCGGCTCAGGTCATGATCCCAGCGTCCTGGGATCGAGTCCCACATCGGGCTCCTTGCTCGTCAGGGAACCTGCTTCTCCCTCTGCCTCTGCCTGCCATTCTGTCTGCCTGCGCTCGCTCTCTCTCCCTCTCTCTCTCAGACAAATAAATAAAATCTTTAAAAAAAAAAAAAAAAAACCTCTCAGTATGGTGGTGAAGGACACCTCTATCAAAAAAAAAGGCAGATGCACAACTTCACAGAGCACCTTCTGTTTTCAAAGGTCTAAGGTTCTTTGGACTGCAATGAAGACTGTTTATATCTTTGCAGCGTGACACTAAAAATGAGACTGGCCTTTGGATGTGGGATCAACACATGGTTGAGCTCCTGACCCCTCAGAAGGGGCACGCATAGGGCCCAAGTTCCCACGATCCATGGAAGGGAGGTCCCAGAGAGCCAAACAACCCAAGTCAGGATTGGCAAAGTAGAGCACAGGCCTAATACCTCTCAATGCCTGTTCTGTATGGTCTGTGAGCTAAGAATGGTTTTTAAATGTGTAAAGGGTTATAAAAGGATGTTTTTAAAAAATAGAAACTATAGCCATGGCATATGGGCGACAATGGCTAAAATATTTCCTGTCTGGCCATTTGTGAGACAAGCTTGCTGACCCCTGGTTGAAACTAGCAAGGCCCTCAACCATCCAGAGGGTGCTTGCCTTTTCTGAGATTTGGTGGGCTGGGTTCTGACGATTCCAAGTCCCCTTCATTCCCTTTATGTTTGCTTTCCTTTCAAGATCAATATATTGGAGATAAAATGTTCCATAGCCTTCTGAGGAAAGACACAACAGATATCAAATATGACCACTGGTAAATGAATGTTCACTTCTCCCAAAAAGACCAACAACACAGTTAAGGATATGGTTCCACCCCTGTTTCTTTACTGTGACAGAAACAAGGCTCCTGCTTAAAAACCACCCAGAGAGGATTCCAGGGATCAAAGCAAAGATGCCCTGAGAACATCCTCACCCATCCTGCTCCCAACTCAGTTTCCCACTTGAGAGCACCAGCCCCCACATTCAATATCAGCACAGAATCATGAGGGTCTCTGACTTTGACTTACCTTTCACCCACGCCCTAGAAAAAGAATGCAGAGGTAGAATCACACCCAGAACGTCCCCTTTCAGTTTCTTAGACACCTGCCCTAAATGTCCCTAAGATCTCTCTGGGTTAGAACTCAAAGGGAAAAGATGGTGTCCAGCTCTTCCTTAGTCATAACCAGAGAAAATGGGAGCCACTGCCCACAACAGCAGCTGTAACTGTTACCTGGTTCAGTGCAGTTCTTGCTGCTCCGGAGTCCTGCATCTTCTGAAGTCAGAGTGTCATTCACCTGCATTAACTTCCTCCCTACCGTCCACTGTCGGTCTTCCCCTAGGAGGTCCATGAAGTCGAGGTCTGGGGAGACAAAGAGCATAACCACACATCACTAACAGCTCGGTTTTGGCCTTTCCCAATGCTGAATGTCCAGCACCTCCATCAGCCACCATTTGCTCAGTGGTGAGCCTATTCCTCCCGCCTTGGGTCTTATCATTATGCTCCATTCACGCAGCCCCTGACTGCCTGCTGGCTTCCTTGGGCTGCTGGATCCTGCTGAGCCTGACAGAGGCCGCCCTCAGCCACTGACTGGGAGGGACTGGTGTATTACTACCTCACCCACTCCAGTGGGATGACTTTGAGACACGTATTCTAAACTTATTACAGAATCTTCTCCACTGGGATTATGCTCCAGTTGTCTACAGTGTAATGCTCCTGATAAAACATAATATATTAATTGCTGTCCTTCTCTGCCTTAATTCCTCACTCCCAGTAACACACTGATATATGTTTTAACAACCAATTCTCTCTGGAGGGGGGGTGGGCAGGGGGAGTCCTGGTTCGGAGCCACTGGCCTATTTCCATAGTGTAAATATTCTCATCATGGCCAAGTTCAACATGACCCACGTTGACCTCACCGAACATGGATTTTGGAAGAGATGGGTACAATTACGTCCATGAAGTCAGTGTGACTGTTTCGAGCCCACCAGCATCTACTCCTCCCAAATAACCTCTCACAACTGAACACTTTTCTCAGGAACTGCTTCTGGAGGATTCCCCAAGCTAGGACACCATGTCAACATCCCCAGAGTCTGGGCCAGTAAACGCTGCATATCAAGACTTCCACAAACAAGAGATGAAAACACAAATGTGAAAACACTGAACCACTGAATGCAATACAGGAGGAGCAGGTTAACAGTGGTGACGTCTCCAGCTGAGATGACTGTAGGGACCGACGTGCCAGGAGAAAGAACAAAGATGAAGGGCACATCAGAGGGGAGAAAGGAGCACGTAACCATAAAGGACTTGTTGACTTTGAAGTGTTGCGGAGCACGGAAAGGGTGGTAAGCTGCCTGTGAGCACAGGGGATGGAGATACCTTAGGGGAGGGAGCTAAGCTAGAGACAGCATCAAGAAGGTCATAAGCAAAAAGGGAAAAGTATGAGACATGATGCATGGGGTCTTCTGGGAGGGGACTAAAGAGAAGAGAAGAGGTCATGGGGAACTCAATATTCCGTCAGAGAATGGATCATGAAAGGAAAGGAAAGAGGACAGGTAATAGCATAAGGCAAGGTCAGCAGAAAGGGAATTTCAGGAGTAGCCAACGGTCTTGACCTACAGACAAGTCAAGTAAGACAAAGGCTAAGAAATAACAGAGCTGGACCTCAGAGAGCCACTGGGCGGTGGAAACAGCAAGCAAAGATGGTCTTCCTGGTGGCTTAGCACTAAAGAAAGATGTGGCATGAGGCAAGGGACACCCTTGAGTGTCCAGAAGTGTGGTGGGCAGAAAATGGATCTAAGTACAAGATAAAGGCCTAATTCATGGGCCAAGTGACCTTCACAGAAGGCCAGAGGGAGCACTCCATCCAGCCACATCAGTGTGATGTTCTGAAGAGCTAAAGGTCATCATACCTATTCCTCTATTTCCATGGTAATTTTAGTTTCCCAGATGATTCCACCTTCATTGTTGAATTTGAACCTCACGACTCTGGTTGGGAAAGCAAGAGGGAGCAGGGATGTTGTCCACTTTGTCCACTATTGTCTCTCTAACACCAAATCACTCCTGGCTCAGAGGAGGTGCTCAGTAAGTATGGGTTGAAAAAACTATTCCCATTTTGGTGATGGACAAAGTAAGACTTGCAGAAGTTTCTGGGAATCAGAGTGCTTGTAGACATCTCACCTAAGCCACAGGACACATGTAAGTGCAGCAGCTCATGCACCGAGGTCTTTCTCAGTCAAATGGAATCTGCTCTCAGATATAAAATCATCAAGGTATTTCATTACAACTTACACATATTAGCCAGAACAGCTATTTTAGACATCTCTCTCTCTCTCTCTCTCTCTCTCTCTCTCTCACACACACACACACACACACACACACACACAAATGTAGAATGCGGAGCCTAACGAGAATTAACAATCAGTTTAGATTCTGAAATGCAAAAGCCCACGTGGTGGCCACAGACATCAGTGTAGTCATAACTAAGAGAACAGTGCCAGAGATAATTCAAGGTGAAAGCAAGGCATTGGCGTCATCTGTTTAACCTCCACAGTTAATTCTTAGGATTAAGAACGGTGACAAGCAGAGAAAATAATCTCAAAAGCTCATGAAGAAACAATAAGGTCAGTGGCCTGAAAATCCAACAAGCAGCCCTGAAATGTGAATTTAGCACCTTATTGTCACAAATGATCTGCAAGTGTGCAGAAAGACAGCACATTTGTCTCAGGCTGGGTTTCCACAGCGGCCCCGGAAATGAGGATCTGAACACGGGTTTTTCCTATGGGGGTGGGGGTGACCCCAGGAAGTACCTGTAAAGGAACAGGACCATGGGGTGGGGAAGGGGAGACAGCCAACAGATGATACACTTCAAGCCAGTCACCAGAATGAGTCAACTAGAGCTTGGCTCCCCTGGAAAGCTCTGGGAGTCGGAGTAGACAGGTAGCTCAGATACTCAAGGGTGAGCAAGCTTAGGTACGTATCTACCTATTCCTGGTCTGCCATTGGTTGAAGGCTATTTCCAGGGGGCATGAATTCCCTGGCACCTTGAACTTGGTACATGGGAGTCCAAGGTGGGCTCTAGTGCCCAGGCAAAGGCCTTAGACAATGAAATGCAGATGCTAAGACTTAAACAGTACCAGTGAGCACTGAAGAGGCAAGAATGAAGGGATATGGGCAGGGCACCGATTGCATTTCCCAGCCTGCATAAGATCCAAAGGCAGAGGTGTCCTCCAGATCAACAGACTGGCCACTCTGCTGTTCTCACAATCGGGGTCAGAGAAAAGTGCTTTTTGGTACTACAATCCGAATGCTTAGGGAGACTCCAAAGATTTGCAGAGAAGCAAGTGTCCCTTCCAATGACTTCCAAAGTTCTTTCTCAGGCCAAGTTTCCATGGTTCTGTAATTCTGAAAGAAAAGCTGATACCAATTAAGAGATGTAAAAATAAAGCCAGCTATTGTAGCAGAAAATTAGAGGATTTTTTTTTTTTACATAATGATTCAATATCTTCAGGCATTAGAGACTATTAAGGCAGCACCTCTGGATTCCAAAACCTACAAATTTTTATCTCAACAAAAATATAGTTGACCACTAACCACTGAACTACTAATGCGGAGACCAGAGTCTGAGAAAATCAGAGTGATGACAGCAAGTACTGCATTCACTTCCTTCCCTGCTGAGAACCAAGTATAACACTATTATACCCCATTCCATTTGTTCTCACAAAATCCTGGTGAGGTAGGCAGGGGCAGTTGGTGCTGGGTCAACCTACCTCTGAAGTAAAAAAGTCAGGGTAGAAGAGATTTGCCTAAAATCAGAGCCAATCCATAGCCAGCCACCCCAACTACCATTTAATAGCTATTATGGCTTCAATTTACTGAGTGTCTATTATGTGCGAAGAACTTTCCATTCCATCCATGTTTCATTTTACAGCAGTCTTATTTTGAACCATTAGCCCCATTTGCAAATAAGCAAACCAAAGTGTGAAGAAGTTCAAAGACTCACCCAAGGTCACACGGCAAGCAATGAGGGGCAGAATGGGGATCCGAACCCAGGCCTGGTGACCCAAGGGCCACATTCATGGTAGATCCCTGGGGACGATGCAGTCCATCTGGCTGCATTATTCAGGTACAGTGAGGCAGATCAGCAATGCAGCCTGAACCTTTTAATAGATTAGGGGTGAACACAGGCTCCCTAAACCTACTTCCAGGAAGTTCGTTTCCTCGGAAACCATCAGGAACAGTGGTGAGGCATACGCCACATGAAGCCGTCACAAACAGAAAAGAAAATGGTTCCAAAAACCCCAGTGAATGCATGGCACTCCACTTAGTGTGGCCTCCTCACAGACTAAGATGGTCCCATGGGTCATGACTTGGAGGGCTCTTTGGGGGCGGGAGGTCGAGGGGGGGCCGTGGGGAAGGCAGAGGGGACTGGAAGAGGCACCCACTTGGGTTTCTCCCCGCTCTCCCTTCATGCATCTCCGGCATCCTTGGACTTCTCTGCCCCAGCAGACGCCGATCCACAGAGCTGCACTTGAGCAATGTCAACAAAAACATTTGGCGCCTGTCCACCGCATTCTTGGCTCCTCATCTGCCAGGCCCTGGAAGTCGCATGTTGACCTAATTAGTCCGGAGGGAGGGGGTGCATGAGGAGGGAGGCAGGAGGCTCCCAGGTCCTGTGTCACCGGTGGAGGCAGCGTGGATGACTGCAGGCTCTGAGAAGGAGGGACGGGGTGGGCCATGGGGAGCGTGCGGGGTGCCTGCTGAAAGGGGAAGACATTCTCAAGCCGAGACTCAAGCCACATGCACTGAGGAAGGGAATAAGTAGAGGCTGGATGCCAAGTTTCCATTACAGAGCTGTGTGCTCACCCTCTCCTGCTCTTACCACCCCCTTCAGCCTTTCTCTCTCTCTCTCTCTCACTTGCTCGCTTGCTCTCTCTCTTCCCCTCACCCCTTTTTACTCCCTGGGACTGAGGGTTAGAGAACCCAAAGTTTTCTGACACCAAGAATGGATTTCTTTGGGTACCCCAGATCTCAGCCTTCTGAAAATGAACACGCTTTCTCCTGCATGTATACTTGTCTCACAGGGTTTCCGTCCTTCCCAAATACTGGCCCTAGGCCCCTCAGGGAGGCAGGGCTGTCCACTCTCTGAGTAGGTGACTCCCACAGACACACAGCCAGGCACAGACAGGCAGGCGTGCTGCTGCACCACGACTGGCAACACCACGACAGGCCTGCGTGCCCCTTGCGGTACGCACCACACCACCCCATGATCTCCCGCAGCGTTTCCACCGCCTCACTGCTGCTGCTGGGGTTAAGCGGCCAGGCTGGGACTCAAGCCCAGATCTGTCTCCAAAACCCAGGTA